TCTGGACATGTTTTTATCTGATATTATATCAGACAAAACTATTTTAAAACTCATCATCTTCGCACGGTTTTAAAAAACTCATGAAAATGATGTTCCATTTCGGTCTAATATTTGTTTTGAAATGTCTTTCAGATAGAAAGTCTTCAAATCTTAAAGTTCAAGGCACGATTCAAGCTGTTATCTGCTTATTTCTCTATGTTGAATAAACAAAATCACCTATCTATTCAGTCAAATGATATAGAATTCTGCTAATATTTGGTTAATTTGGTTGTGGGAGTGGTTGTGGGTATGGCTGTAAGTGTGTGCGTGTGGGTTGGTGTGAGTGTGCGCGTGTCACTGTGGGTTTCTAACTGCTACCCACACCCCACACCCACGCCTTCTATTTGGAATTATAGCAGTACCCCCATGGAATAATATTATTTCCAAACGTGTAGTCTATGCGTAAAAGAAAAAAAAATTGATATCAAAACTTTAACAATTTCTCAGATTCGCCTAGTCCTAAAAATCGATTGATTTTTAAAGAATGAACTCCCAAACAGAGTCTGTTTCGCTCTGCCTCTAGTAAGGATACGAAAAGACTACAAGAAAAACAATACAGTGAAAAGACAGAAACACATAAAAGAAAAATATACAAAAAGCCGTATGTGGGTGGTGCAAAATAAATGTATCTATTTAATATGCTGGAGATCTTTTCGGATTATTGAGTGAAGTAGATTGTTTGCTGAATGGTGGAGGCAAATTGTTAGGTTTTTCTGGATTAATGTTGATGATAATCGATGAAAATTGTAGGTGAATATTCGCGAACAAACCACGAATATGTGGGTGTGGGTGTGGGTCATGTTTTGAATTTATTCCACACCCACACGCATACACACACCCATACCGTCACCCACAACCACCGCCACTCCCACACCCTACACCTTATTCAAGAAAATCTTTAATTAGCTGAACAACATAAAAAAAATGTTATGTCAAATAACACTCCGACACCACAGATTTTACTACAAAACGATGCAGAAATTGTACTACTTGGACATTCAAGAACAGTATGCACAAATAAAAAAATGTACGAAAGTAATTACAATTAATGGTATAGAAAAAGTTGATTATGTACTTCATTGCCATCCACATTGTTATCTTATTGGAGTTGGACAGGAGATTATTGGTCATGAAAAATTAAAAGATTGTGCTTCTATGAATAAATCATTCGGTAAGTTTAATTGATTTCTTGTTAAAATATTCTCATAGTTATAAGATCATAAAAGTGGAACAAATAGCTTTGGTTTTCATTTTGGATATGATTATGCTGTATATTTTATCTTCCAGTCAACCTTTAGTAATAGAGGTCGAATCAAATCGAGTTTTATTGTTTCGAGTTCGGTTTGTTTTATTTTCGGTCTTTGTTTCTTAACACGAGGAAAATCGCTAGAGAGTTTATCTCCATAGTCTTGCTTCTGATGACAGATTTGTTTTTATTCTTTATTCAAGTAGAATTTTATCTTTCTTAAACATGCTCCAAATTTTTTTTCTCCAGGATTATTTCAAGATGGAATTATATGATTAATATTAATCGGATTATTAGAGATGAGTGTAATGAATATATGGGAATTCGTTTCGAATATTTCTTCTTCTTTCAAGGTCGATTGAAATTTTGAGAATTTTATTAATTAAGTAGTCTTCCCTCTTTTTCTCACTCAAAATTTTCTCACTATTTTACTTTTGCTGAAAAATGAGTTTTAGACAGAAGAAAAAGTTGAGAATTGTCTTCTGGTTCTCAACCACAGTACATCCAATTGAGCCCAAACCTTTTTCTTTTTGTAGTAATACAAAAAAGTCTTAAGGATATTCATTTGTTTTTTTTGTTTTAAGTAACATGTATAGCTAGCTTTTGCCAGCATTGACAAAGCAAGCTCTACTCGAAAAAACATGCCATTTTTGATGTTTTTATTTTGAATTCAAGAATGTAAAAAGAAGTATGCATTCCATAGAGTGTGTAATATCTCTGAAAAATGTTTCAACTCTATGAGATATATTGCGACTGAAAACTGGGAAGAAACAGCAAAGACTTAAGTCTTGAAGTCTGTTGTTTTTCCCTTGCTGAAAACAGACGGCGATTAGAGAGGTTCTTTTTGGCTCTTATCATATCAATATCTCCTATAGAAAAGTATTCGGAACTATGAGTCTATGTCAACTTTTGTTCTATTCATCAAGATCTATCCAATTGTTCTGATTAGTCGTTCTTCAGAAATCATGGAAAGGCAGACTCCTTAAATTGTATTTTTCTCGAAAGCAAACCTATTCGACGTTTCTTTTTTTATTCTAAGTAATCATTTTTTATCGTTTTATTTGTTTGTATAATGACTTAGTTATTCACACAAGAATTCATTTACAGTCGAACTCGTTTTTATAAATTTTATTCAATATCTTACTATAATATAAATCTTTTTAGATACTTGTAATAAACATGGTTGTTTGAGAAAAGAATATATACATATAACTTATGAAGTTCGTAAATTTATTACTAATATTGAAATGAATAGTAAGAATAAAACGCAATCTCCAATCGATGAAATTAAACAACGTATTAAAGATTTAGAAGTAGAACAAGAAGCTATTATTAAAGTTTGTACTCAATTAACACAATTTCTTCGTGCAAATGCACTTAATCCAGTAAATGATGATATTTTGGAATATATTGAACATTTTATTCGAGAAGAAAAAAACAAAAAAGAGTGCTGGAGTTCAAAATGATGATGTTATTACTGGTTTAGAAAAATTATTAGTTGATTATAAACATGAAATGGATATTCTTCAACAGGCAATGAAAATAAATTCAACAACAATATCCAATAGTTCATCTGAGTCTACTGATGTTATTAAACCAGAACAAATATTTCTTCTAGTAAGTTCTCTTTATCGATTACCGATCAATGGTGCTAAAATTCGTGAGCAAGTCGAAGGATTAAAATGCATACAGTCTAAATTTACTCAAAATAGAGAACATGTTGTTCAGTTACTAGTAGAAGCCGATTCTTCATCAGTAATGATAGATTTAAAAAAATAGTCTTTAATAATAACATTGTTATTTCAATCGATTATGCACATTTGTTATTGTTTTTTAATTGATTTACAAGTTAAACACAAGGAATATCAAAGAATCAGTATTTCTATTAATAGTAGCATGAAGTTTTCTCAATTCGAAAAGAAGTTAACAACGAAAAGATTTCAATGAGGAAATGATGCAAGACACTTAATACACCTTAAAAAAAGGTGTGTGTGCGAATAAGGGTGAAGATGACGAAAATTCTATTGCACATATTCTAACATTATATTCACTTGTACACGTCAGTGCATCCAGTAGTTCTTGCACGACTAATTCAGTTAGTCTTTTCCATATTATAAAGCATGTTGTTCAATCAAGTCTTGATCATAATTAATATCAAGCAGACGGTTAGTCTTCAACGTCGTATGTTAAAACGTTTCGAACAACAACTGACTTCAATAAGATCCGATTCTTCATAGGTTCACTAAGGTCTTCTTTAAATATTAGCCTTCATCAAATTCAGTATGTCATTGAAAGTTGAAGTTCTTTATTCTACTTCTCTCATGAATCAAGTAAAAAATAAATATTATCTCGCACAAAAAAAAAATCTATTCTTTTAAGTCATTCGATTAACTCCCATTTTAATATAATATCTAGTTTTGACATTTACATGATCTATTTTCGAGATGTTTGATCAATATTAATTCAATAATACGTACATCTATTCTGCATGGATGCGAACCAAATGTTGTCATCGATTGAAATATCGATATAATACCAAAAACAAGATGTCGAGTTTTGAAAAGCATGATGTTCGTGTTTGACCAACAACAATCATACTCGCCTTAATTTGTTACACATTCATTTTAATTCTGTGTCATAGTACTTGACATGAATAAAATCTTTAAATTATTCTCTCAAAACTATCATTTTCATCCGTCTCCTTTCATGAATTTGAATCAAATATGAGTTGAACAGAATGACAAAGCAAAACTTTTATTGATATTGTTTTTGATCTACACACAACAAAGATTCAGTTGACATTGATGTAAAGGTAATAACGTACTGTTAGATAACGACCTTTTTCTGCTAGTACACTAATATATGAAATGAGATTTTTATCATAAATCGGAATATATTCCACTTTTTCTAAACTTTGCTGATACGTGAACTGAACCGATCTATATTGTTTATTGAGCTTTTGCACTGCCATTTGACCAGCTTCTGCTTTCGCCTTCTCTCGTTCGTACGTTTCTCTTGGCCATGTTTGACTTTCAATCTCCAATTCCTTACGAGCCGCACAGTTGTTGATGTAATTAATGGTCGATCGATACTCTTCCACGGTTATTTTACCTTTTAACCAGCTCGGTTCTAGCAGCGAATCAGGATTAAAATAACCACCAGCACCTGTTAATCGAATTAGACCACCATTCAACAGCTCTGCCATTGGTAGATGAGATACGAATGCAGCTACTTCGTTCTCAATGTTTAATGAGGATGTTCCAGAGGCTCCTGCTCCCATTTTAAATGAACCACATGGAAATCAAAAATGAGTATTGAGTAGGAATAATCAATGATTTTAACTTAACGACTGACTCACTTTGTTGCAATGAGTGTGCGTTTTTGTACAACGACGTGCGTAATGTTTGTCTTGTCGTCAATGACGTTCTCTTCTTCTGTCTTCTTTTTTGTTTGGTTAACTATTGCCACAAAGTAATGCGCCATGAGCAACGTGTATTTAATCGTTTAAACAATGTCAGATGTTGAGACTAGTCTGTTCAAGTCGCTGAGCAGCGAAGTGTACGAATATTTCTACGATTACATCCTTGGTACTGCACTCTCTGAGACCAGTTACCTGTTTGATATTTTTCTGCGCTTCTCAACATCGTGATCTTCTGTGTGATAGAATAAAGGATGTGGGGTGTGGGGGTGTGAGGGTGGGAGTGGGTCTTCTTTTATCTGCACCCACACCCAGTTGCAACACATGTATTACTGATATTGTTTATGGGTGTGGGTATGCGTCTGTGTGGCTGTTGCTACTTTCCACCCACACAGATATGGCATGTTTTCCCACTCACTTGCGCACTTACACCCACACCCATACTGACACCTTCAAAAACATCACACCCGCAACCGCAACCATATCCACATCCATACACTCACTGAGACTACTCTTAGACCTATATCCCTAACACTATACACTTATTGCTATCCATTTATAACTTTACTCTTCGATCTATGTTCTGAAGAGGTAGAAACGCATGTGTGATCTACTATCACCATTGCATCCGTAAAAGGGCTGTCTTCTAAAAAAGACTTACCGGTAGAAAAGGTGATACCGATGTCATATCAGCTAACATCGCAACTTTTATACTATTCTCTGCTTATCTTTGAGATCTTTTGAGTCAGGGTGTGGATGTGGATGCGGATATGGATGTGGATGTACAGTGTTTGTGTGAATGTGGATGTGGACTTTATTATTCTTTCTCTCGAGCCCACACCCTACTCTTTTATACATTAAAAATTCGACTTTATGCTGCATTTATTATTTAAAAAAGTTTGTTTGAATAACAATATATTTTCTATTATGATTATAATTAATTAGGTGTAAAAATCTTTTTATAGATATTTCTATGGTGAACTTTATCAATTAGCTCATGGATTCCCTTCACATCGAAATATCTTTGTTGATCGTCATACTGAAAAATTACAATTACGTAATAGTGTATCGATTCAGTGAGTTCTATTCGATGCACTGAATGGTGATGCTAAAGAATTTCTTCCATTAGATATAAATAACTATTTAAGTACACTCAATGTCGTAGGCATTTGTTCTTTTTTTATCCATTCCATTTGAGTTAGATATTATTGATTGAAGGTGTGGGGGCGGGTGGATGGGGTTGATGTGGGTGAAAACAAGACTCATACTGACCCACACACCCACATCCTAATTCGTTTGAGATTGTTATTCATTTTAAAATATGTTGACAAGTTGACAGCAGAAATGATTTTCGTGCAATTAACGGTATATGAACAAATTTTTTTGGGGATGGCCTTTTCCACACTTCAAGTTGATTTCTGAAAATCTGGATTTAGGATCATATATACTAACTATAGAGGTATTCATTCCAATATTTAAACTTTGGAAAATAGAACTTGAGATCATGTCCGCCTGGTTGCCTACTGTGACCCACACCCACCACACCCTATGAAAATTAGTACCCTTCGCATGACACTAAACATTTAACCAAGTAATAGAATTCGTATCGGACTCGGCATTCCAAAACAGTAAAATATATTATTCATTCGCAACATATAACTAGTGTTTGGTTCAGTAAATTTCTATTCGGAATTAATAAGTTCACCGAGAATAATACTCACACGTGAACAGCAAAGATGAATATGAATACAATCAATAACGTCAATGTGATCGAGTTATCAATAAGAAAAACCTACACTTTCACGTCAATTGTCTGTCTATAATATACAATAGGAAACTGTTCTCTTACGTGTATTCATATATCCTCGTTTTATCCATATTGGAAAAATGTTTTGTTTTTAAGCGACACTGTTGAGAGTATTTCATCTTCTCCATAAAAATACATTCTTTAGTATGTATGTTCTTTTCTAAATCTCTTTATTTCTGTCGGAAAGTAAAACACCTTTCAATGAATGATAGTTCAATCAACCTATGTTTAATAGATCCGCAATTTAGACGGCGATGAAACTCGTACACACCAATTTTCTACATACAAACGAACCAATACACTTCAACATATTCTATTTGTAGAAGATTAAAAGATAAATGATTATATAAATTATATCCCAAAATGATTTATCTCATATTGATAGAGATGCAAATGGCAAAGGTACCTTTATTATTATGAGTGAAAGCATTTGTAAATCTAAACTCTGTCGAAGATTAGAAAATACATTAAATATACTTTTATATAATAATTACAGTAATAAAAAAGTATTATTGACTATAACTCATTCCTTATCATTAAAGGTCATAAATTTGTATGGGGTAGAAGCGATAATTCTCTTTATATAAAATGAATTTAGAGAAAAAAAAATTAATCTGGGAGAATAATAGTAGAAAACTAATAAGCATGTGTATGAGTTATTGTGATCGACGAACAACGCGTACCCAAATACCATTTTTACTATTGAGAATTTCTAGCTTTCCTAACTGAAGTGGAACCTAGAGATCAAACCAATGATAGAATGATAATACTAAGAAAATTGTCACTTACTTGTGTTTTTTCACATTTTTGAAATTCCACAACACGAAGTGCTTTGGCTATTCCAAGTTTAGCTTCTAATAATGCAAATCGCATTCCAATACAATTACTACAATCAATTCAATCTTCATATCAATTATATAGATTCTTTTCTTACCGAGGTCCATCCCCAAATGGAAGATATGCCATTGGATGACGTTTAGCTTTCTCTGCTGGTAAAAACCTATCAAACAATATCAATGTACATCACAAGATGTAGTGATTTTTAAAAAATTTCACCTTTCAGGTATGAATTTTTCTGGATCAGGCCAAACATTAGGATCATGATGAATAGGATAAACAGGTACATTAATAATAGAACCTTTTGGTATATGATAATTACCAAGTTGATAATCACATGATGCAACACGATCAAATCTATTATAGAAAACATACATTTATCAATGAAGAGAAATATCAATAGCACACTAACGTGATACCTGGTGGATACATTCGAAGTGTTTCACTAATAACCATATCCAAATATGAAAGTTGATTGAGCTTCTCATGAGTAACTTCGTCCTAGATACAACTATTAAACATCATTATTCTCTAACATGAATCTAACTTACATCTCCAAGTTCTTGACGAATTTCCTCATAAACCTTTTCTTGAATGACTGGTTCTGTTGCCATGACATAGAAAAAGCATGACATTAATATACTTGTTGTTTCATAACCAGCAACCAAAAAGATAAGAGCTTGGCCAAATATTTCTTTATCATTCAAAGCTAAGATC